GGGGGGGTGGATCGGGGGCGGGGTGGGGGGGGGGGGGGGCCTCGGTCGCTGGCAGCCGCGCGGGGACGCGGCCGGCCCGCGGAGGCCGGGGCGCGGCCGTGCGGCGCCGGCAGCGCGGCCAGCGGCCGGGGGCTGCAGCAGGCACGGCGGCGACACTGCGGCGCCGGCCAGAACCGCGCTGGGGGCGCAAGCGGCGGCCGCGCGACGCAGCCGCGACGCTGCGCCGTGGGGGCCTCGGCGCCGCCGCCACGCCGGCTGCGCGAGCGGCGGCAGCCCGGCGCCGCCCCCGCCGCAGCGGACTTTATCGCCGGGCGGCAGCGGCCGAGAGGGGAGGGAGGCGAGACCTCTCCGTCCAAGCCGCCGCCGGAAGCCCGCGGGCGCGCCCGCCAGGCCCCGGGACCCAGGCCGCACAAGCCACCTCGAGCCGAGACGGCTTGAACCAAAGGCTACGGACGGCTGGTGGGGTTACGCGAAGCTTTTAGAATACCTCCAAGGGGCCTCGAGAAACCTCCCAAGAGACTGCAAAGAAGCCTCCCACAGAGGCCTCTTTTCTACGTCCCAGACACGGTGGTAGGCTTGGCCAGAAATCACTAAATACTCTGAAGAAGCCTTCAGGCGACCTCCAGCAAAGATATAGCTGGCATGCGCGCCGCGTCACGACTCTCGATGCTGCGCGCCACCTTGCCAACCTCCCAAGGATCGGCTGGTCGATTAAAGGGAGGGCATCGCCATTATGCAACATGTTCTAGACATCTCCAGACTTGGCTGGGGTTGAACCGGGCCGTGCCCGATCAGCCAGGCGGAGTCATGTTTTACCCAGAGCCTTCTAAGCAAGAGCCACAGGTGAAGCAAACGGACGTATGAGGCGGAGCCCCAATATTGTGGGGCCGGGGTAGAAGACAGTGCCGCAATCAGTAGGGCAGGCTGGGGCAAGCTTCCAGGAGGATGGGGGTACGGAGGATACGGATTTGAAATCAAGACAGAGGATCGACTCTTTTGCGATCATCTAACCCCCCTTGTGGCCTCTGGAGGCGTTCTCCAAACGCCTCAAGTGACTGCTTGTGGACGAGACTCTGACTGAGGAGCAGGCGTAGGATGATGATTGTGATGGTGATGATGATGGTGATGGTGACGATGACGATGACGATGACGATGATGATGATGATGATGATGCTGCTGATGATGATGATGATGATGATGATGATGATGCCGATGAGGATGGCGATGATGCTGACGACAGTGACCACGACGATGACCACGATTAAGATGATGCTGATGATGCTGCTGCTGATGATGATTCGGACTATGATGATGATGATGATGATGATGATGATGATGATGATGATGATGATGATGATGATGATGATGATGATGATGACAACGCTGCTGCTGCTGATGTCGATGATGATGGGAAGGCTGCAATATCCTCATGTGTTAGGCGGGCCGAGTTCGACTCCAGCAGGTCAGCACGAACGGACCACGAGCGTGCGGGTGTCGACAAAGGTGGTCGTGGCCCGCGGCGACCCCAGCTTTTCCAGCGAGGCGCAAATGGTCCTCAGATCACACCTCAGGAGGCCCAAAAACCCCCTTGAAATTCAGAGCGGCGTGAAAAGCCGGGGGCAGCTTGGGCCAAGATCGCGCCGGGCAGCCTCAGAATGCAGGAAACGAAAATGCTGCTCGGCTGAAAACGTCAGGGGGGGCACGGCACCACCGACCGGGCAAGAAGCAGCAGGGGGCGCCGATGACAAGGACCCAGTCGAGCTGCTACTATAAGGAACGCAAGGTCGGGATTTGGCCCCACAGGCCCCCGGGCGCATGAGGAGCCCTAGAGGAACAACCGAGGATGGAGCTGCGGAGCAGCGATCCCCTTCCAAACCCGAGGTGCTCTCTACTTCGTCCAAGAAGGATCAACAGTCTCGAGGCAACGCACCAGAAATCTTAGCACGCGTTGCTGTATCAACGCAGGGGCACTTGTTCAGAAATTACCGGCTTCATGCCAACGGCTGCGGTGAATGGACACACGAGGAAGCATGCACGACCGGAGACTGGAGACGAGGAGAGGGACGCCACTCCTCGAGAATCATCGCGGTCTGGCGGCCGAGCAATCCCCGGGCAGTGCACCACCCCGCGGCAAGCGCGCAAAGACCTTGCAACGCACGCCCCCTCTTACGAGGGAGCACTTCCCGCAACGAGAAGGATTTCTTGCATGGGCTTAGGTCGGGCGTGTCCCCCGACAGGCGGATTTTGGACGAAAAATCAAGCGTAGTCAAACAAGAATCAAATCTACCCCCCCCCTGGATTAAAAAGTGGTGATCGGCACTATGCGAGGGAACAACTCCTGGGTCTTCGCCAATCGATAAACCCTCAAGCTTCGACCTTCGATCGATCCCAAGATGACTCCCAGACAGACTCGTGACCCGAATGGAGGAACGGCGACGCAGGGGTGGACGAGAAGCGCGGTTGTTAGGACAGCCCACTCTTTGGCGGCGTAAGAAGCAGCTGGAAAATACTCTGCGACGAATTCCCAGGCGATATCGCCACTTTCAAGCGGCATGAACATGGATCTCAATTTTTCCCAACCATCCTGTGGTGTTCTCGTTTTGAAGAGACGGTCTCCGCGTTCCTCCTCCTTCCTCCCTCCTCCCTCCTCCGCGTTTCGTGGCCCCATAGGGAGCTCCACCGAGGGCCCCAGTGGCACCGCCCGCATGCGTCACCCACACCCATTTCGGCACACCCCTCACACGTTTCGTGGCCCCATACGGAACTCCACCGAAAGGCCCCTGTGGCACCGCCCGCATGCGTCACCCCCGCCCAGTGCAGCGCTTCGTGGCTCCATCAGAAGCTCCACCGAAGGCCCCGGCGGCACCGCCCGCATGCGTCATCCCCCACCCAGTACAACGTTTCGTGGTCCCATGGGGAGCTCCACAGAAGGCCCCAGTGGGACCGCCCGCATGCGTCATCACACCCAGTACAGCCTTTTGTGGCCCCATAGGGAGATCCACCGAAGGCCACAGTGGCACCGCTCGCATGCGTCATCCCCCACCCAGTACAAGGTTTCGTGGCCCCATGGGGAGCTCCTCCGAAGGCCGCAGTGGCACCGCCCGCATGCGTCACCCCCACCGATTACAATGTTTCGTGGCCCCGTAGGGAGTTCCACCGAAGGCCCTGGTGCCACCAGCCGCATGCGTCACCCACGCCCATTCTGGCACACCACTCACGCGTGTCGTGGTCCCATAAAGAGCTCCACCGAAGGCCCCAGTGTCACCGCCCGCATGCGTCACCCACACCCACTTCGGCGCACCCCTCACACTTTTCGTGGCCCCATAGGGAGCTCCACCAAAGGCCCTAGTGCCGGCGCCTGCGCGCGTCAGCCACACCCAATTCGGCACACCATAGGGAACTCCACCGAAGGACCCTGTGGCACTGCCCGCATGCGTCAGCCACGCCCACTTCGGCACACCCCTCCCACGGTTCGTGGTCCCATGGGGGGCTCCACCGAAGGCCCCAGTGCCAGCGCCCAGATGCGTCAGCCACACCCACTTCGGCACACCACTCACACGTTTCGTGGCCCGATGGGGAGCTCCACCGAAGGCCCCAGTGCCACCGCCCGCATGCGTCACCCACACCCATGTCGTCACACCCCTCACGCGTTTTGTGGCACCATAGGGAGCTCCACCGCGGGCCCCGGTGCCACCGGTCGCATGCGTCACCCACGGCCATTCTGGCACACTACTCACGCGTGTAGTGGCCCCCTAGGGAGCCCCACCGAAGGCGCCAGTGCCACCGCCCGCATGCGTCACCCACACCCATGTCGTCACACCCCTCACACGTTTCGTGGCCCCATGGGGAGCTCCACCGACGGCCCAAGTGGCTGCTTTCGCATGTGCCCACAGGACAAGTTTTGGCACACCCCTCACACGTGTCGTGGCCCTATGGGGAGTTCCTCCGAATGCGGCCCATAAAACGACGGTGCTCACAACTGCATATGGTTGGGTCCTTCGCCAGGCTAAGATTCTGAGGAAGACCCACGTGAAATCGACACTTTCAGATGCCATGGCAAATTTTCGGATCGCCCTGGAAGGCAATCTGATATTTTTTTGAGGAAATCTCGAGCAGAATCGCACTTTCAGACGCTGACCCCACTTGGTCGTTATAATTTCTAAAAGGTGAGAGATGCACCTGAAATTGCCAAATCGACCCCAACTCCAACGTTGTCCCGGGGCCCCGTGGCCTAACGGGGGGCCCACCCTGTCTCTCTCGATCCCCACGGTCTCCGCTTTTTCATCCAGCAGGTTGCAGTCAAAAGCAATCAAACAGATCGTCCGCAGACTACTTTTCCACCACTCTTGAATCCCCCCACCTGTAGGAGGGACACGCCCGACGGCAGCTTAGCGCGTCGCCGCGGCGGCCCTGGCGACGCGTTGTGCCTCGCGAGCGCGTGTCGCTCCGCTCCGCGGGGCGCGGGGCCTGGAACGCGCTCGGGGCGTTGGAAGCCTCGGGGGGTCGGACGGGGGGCAGCGTGTTGCGCCGAGGCGCGGTGGGCCAGAGCTGGCGTTAGGTCGGGCGTGCCCCCCCTTACAGGCGGATTTTGCACGAGGAATTAAGAATAGCCAAAACGTATCCAAAAAGAACCGAATCATCGTCCCCAGACTACTTCTTTGACTATTTTTGAATGCTCCTCCTGTAGAGGGACAGGCCCGACTCAAAGCTGGCGGAGCACGCTGTCCAAAAGGTCCCGGCCGTTCGAGGGCAGGGCTCTGGGCAGGGTGGCGTCTTGCAGCATCGCTGGTGCATCTTGGGTTTGCTCCTCTGGCTGTCCTCTTCCTCCTCCCCTCGCCGAACGAGCATGGACAAGCGGGCGTTTTAAGACAACACGCGCCAATGATCTGCTCGCCCTCACTCCCTCTCTCTCTGTCTCTCTGTCTCTCTCTCTCTCTTTGTCTCTCTGTCTCCCTGCCTCTGTCTGGTCCTGCTTGGGCCAGAAACAGACTGCCGTGCGCCTCCTGATAAGTCTGGCCGTGGATATTCTCGCACTGCTTCGAGGGCACGAAACCTCCCTTGCACCCCCTTCTCGAACTCAGCTCTGCATCCTCCTTGCTCCTCCCTCTTCTCGCTGTTCCTTCCTCGGCGTCTCCCTCTCTCCTTCCCGATCCCCTTCCCCTCTCCCACTCGCCATTCGCTCCCCTCCCTCGCGCCCCCTCCCCCGGACACAAACACTTCTGCTGCGCATCCACTCGTCGCCCTGCTTCCTCTTGGTCGACCCTCCCCCTCCCTCCCTCTGGGTCCCAGACCTCCGACGAGGGGCCTTTGTTTCGCGGCGTGACCCTGCAGAGGTGTGGACCTCTTCCCGGGGCGTCCAATGGGGGGGGCGTCTAAGAAGGGGGGCGCAAATCATGGCCGGCGGCATGTGAGCGGCCCCGTGAGGTGCTGGTGACGTATTGAAATAAGACGAGGCGCCATGGCCCCCGCCATGATATCCCCCATCCTGATCATCACCCCCTCTTGGCCGACCCCGATCTTCCAGGGGACTAAGTTTCCATCCTGACAGATTTTTGACCCCGGCCTGGTGAGGGCCGCCGAGAGCCGAGCATGGCCAGAAGCCGCCTGTCTTGTTTTTTGTTCGTGTCGCTTCGTTTTCACGACGTCAGGGTGTCGGGGCCCTTCTGCTTCTGCATCTCCTCGTCCCCCGACTCATTACAGTAGGGGCTCGACCACAAGAAACCTTCCACAAGAAGCCCAACCCTGAAACCCCAAGACGTCCATTGATCTTTGGTGTGGGAACCTCATTCTTCCCATTGCAAAACCATCGAAACACCAGGAAACTCAGGGCACCCTGGAGGCAAACAGGGTGTTTCTTGGCATGGGTCTCCACTGTACCCTTCTCCTACAAGGTCCCCGAGGGCCTCCAGGAGCCTCCCAGGATCCGTGGAAGTCTCCGGAAAGCCCCTGGGGGCCCCGATACCGTCAACTCGTATAAGAAGGACGCGCGGTAAGGATGCAAGGGCCTGGGAAGGCCACGCCGACACTTTGCGGGCGGGGCGCGGCCAGCGAAAGCGGCCAATGACGGGCCGAAGAAGAAGGAGAAGAAGAAGAATAATAATAAGAAGGATGCAAAAGTGACCATGGAAAATCGCTCATCCTAACTATGCGGGTTGACTGTTAAGCAGATATCTTTCCGAAACCTGGGTCCACTCTTCGTCCTCTTGGCAGCGCGCACAGGAGGGTAGGGGGAGGGGGAAAGCTTCTTAGAAGGAGGCTGCTTCTTAGAAGGCGCCAGCCTTACATCTATAGATAAAGGGTCCGCGCCTTCTAAGAAGCACGGGCGTTTCTAAAGGACTTCCCCCCCTCCCCCTACCCCCCCTTCTGCGCGTGGCTGGTCCTCCTCCTGCCTTCCCCGAGGTAAGCCTACCTCACTTTCTCCTCCCTTGTCCCCGCGCGCTCCTGAACTGGCAGGCTCGCCTTCGGGGGTCCGCCTGTCATGGCCGCGAGGCCGTCCTTCCCTCCCCTTCCTTCCTCCCCTGCCTCCCCCTCCCCTTCCTTTTTGAAGGCTGCCCCCTCCTCCTGCTCTTCTTCTTCTCCTCATCATCTTATGCTTTCGGCTTGCGCACGCCGTCGCACGGCGTCGTCCCCTCTGAACACAGCTAGAAGGGTGAACTCCTCGCAAAGTGTGAACCCGCGAGAGAAGTGGTTACGCATCCTGAGGGTAAGCAGAGCAGGAGGAAGTGAAACACATCCTCCTCCTCCTCCTCCTTCCTCCTCCTTCCCCTCCTCCCGCTGCTGCGCACGCGCCACGGAGGCTGTCCTGCGGCTCCTCTCGCGATCGAACCTCGCGACGGCGGGCACCGGGATCCTCCCAACGTCATGGCCCCCCCTTGACTGAAGGGGTCCAGGGAGACCGACGCATAAGCATGCACAAATTGCTGGACCCCCCCCATTTTCTTAAATATTTTGTAGGTTTTCGTCTTCCCCACTGTCTCCCCTATTTCCCCATGTCTTCCTTGGGATCGGCGATTCTTTGTCTGTGTCTACTTCTCTCTCGTGATTGACCCTCGACCCTCCCTCCCCCCCTCCACATCGGTGCTGCCGACGGTTATGAACGCGGATAGAGCCCGCGTCGGTCGGCGTGGCGGAAGTAGCCACGCCCTGAACACGACCTGCGCTCCATCCATGCAACTGTTGCACGTGGTGCTCTTTGTTCTTTTTATCGGGGAGAAGAGGAAAGATATGCGACATCCCAGTAACACAGTGAGGCCAGTGCAGAGGAGGAGGAGGAGGAGGAGGAGGAGGAGGAGGAGGAGGACGACGACGAGGACGACGAGGAGGCGGAGGAGGAGGAGGAGGACGAATGTGCGCGGAGCTAGGGCGAGAGCCACACTTTTGCGAATGGGCTGTGCTCTCTGTGTGTAGCTGGTGAGTTTACAAAGCTTCAAGAACGCCTCTTGTAGGAAACCAAACGACACGGCCGTGTTTTAACTGGTTCCGTGTTGCCTTTTTTTGGCCTGTCCCGGCGCCCTTTTCTCCGGTTCCGTCGCCTTTTCTTAGTGGTTCGGGTTCCGGTTCCAATTCTGGGGCAATTTTTTTGTTGCCGTTCTGGTTGCATTTTTTTCCCCGCCGTTTCCATGTTCAAGAGACACCTTTTCGCAAACGGTGAAAAAAGGCCTTGCGTTTCCGGGGATCACCAAGGTCGGGGGCGCGCAAACATGGATTAGCGATCCATGGATTTGGCGCGCGGTCGCCAAATCCATGGATCGGGGGAGGTGCCCTCCCCAAAATGCGGCCGGTGCCGCCTCGCTCGGCGGCGGAGATCCGCGATTTCCCATGGAAACTGGACCCGTCGCTAATCCCCGCCCTCTCCATCCATGTTTGCGATCGCCTGATTCTCGAAAACGGTGAAAAAACGGCCCTGCCGTTCCCGGGGCTCACCGAGGGCGGGAAGCCTCAGAAGGCTCGGAGGTCCCCCGGCCTTCTGGGAAGCTCTCTCGGGCCTCCCCGGCGACGGGAAGAACCTCTCAGGAGGCGCGAGGGCTTCTGGGAAGTCCCGCCGCCTTCAGAGAAGGGCCTTCTCAGGATGCCGAGAAGGTTTCTAAGCCGTCTTCGAGAGCAGAGGCGGCTGCTCGAAGGCCGGAGGGCTCCCGAGAAGCCCCCTCCCCCGCTTGCTGAGAGGGCGGGCTTCTTGCTGAGAGGCCTGCCCCCTCTCTCATTCTCCCCCGGGTGAGGAGGGAGAGGAGGAGGAGGAGGAGAGGAGGCGGAGAGAAGGAGGAGGAGGAGGAGGAGGAGAACGATGATGATGATGATGAGGAGGAGGAGGAGGAGGAGGAGGAGGATGAGGAGGAGGAGGAGGAGGAGAAAGAGGAGGAGGAGGAGGAGAAAGGGGAGGAGGAGGAGGAGGAGGAGGAGGAGGACGCTGACAGAGTGCTTGTCTGTTGAGATTCTCCTTGGGGCGATCCCCCCTACCATCGCGCGTCCCCAGAGTAGCGCCCTTTCCTCTGATTCTTTTCTTCAGAACGAGCTTTCGGCGCCCAGACGACTCCAGGGCAGCCAACGACCACTCCACGACGGCTCCAATGCACCTCCAAGGCAATCCAAAGACGGTCCAACGAGCTCCCAAAAGCTCCAACAATTTCCCAACATGCTCGACAAGCTTAGCTGCCCCGATACGCAACACGCATCCCGTAGCGTGTTGATACGGAGCTCAACACGTATTGAAAACGTAGGTCTGGCGCGATACATTCGCCAAACTGTGGGCCAACACGTTAAGCCAACGCGCAGCGTGTTCAACCTCGACGTTTTGAACACGGTAAGTATTGCGTTTCAAGACGGGTGTGTCAGGGCAGCTAAGCCCATGAGGCCTGAAGAGAGGCCGAAGAAGCCCCAGAGAGGTTCTCATAAGCAACAAACGTACTGAAAACCCAGAGGAAAAGCACAGCACTTTGCTTCCACAGCTTTTCTTCGGCTTCAGACCAGCTGGGGAAAGACTCAGAGATAAGCTTCCAAGACGGTCCAAAACTGTTGCAAGAGAGCCTCCACAACCCCCGAAGACTGCACCATAGTCCCCCAAGACGGCCCAAGAGGGCTCCAAGATGGCCCCACGCCCAGACTTCCCAAATCAAGGTTGAACCGATCCTATTCGGGAGCGCTTGATGAAATCGTCGCGCCCAAGACGGCCCCGCGACCTTCGATGGACCTCCAACGAGCCCCCAACAGGCCCCCAAGAGACTCGCAAGAGGGCCCAAGAGGCCTTCAAGAATTCCCAGCAAGGTCACAAAGAAGCCTCGACTGTGCCTCCAGGAAGCATGGGGAGGATGAGCAGGAAGAGAAGCGATGCAAGAAGAGGAGAAGTGAAGTACGGACAAAGAGGGGTTGTCCAAGATCCGAGCCACTTCGAACGGAGTACTGGACTGGATGGGGGTCTTTAAACTCAACCTCCTTCCTGCCGCCCTCCTGCGCTGGCACGGTGGCGGAGGAGACCCACAGCCAGCCGCACAAGTGGCAAACGCAACTCCACCACCAGTGACACTGCCCAGCTGTACAGCAGGGCCTCGTCCACGAGAGACCTCCTCCACGAGGGACCCGCCACCCTGAGAGACCCCCGGACGTCCACCGATCTCCGGTGTGGGGACCTCGTGCTCTCCATCGCAAAGACATCGAAACCCAGGAAGCCCAGGGCACCCACTGTAAGCCTGGAGCCTCAGCCCGGCGGCAGGCGCCCGAGGCGCCGCGGCGCGGCGCCCCCGGGGGTGGAGGTCGTCGGGTGCAGGAGGAGGAGGAGGAGGCCGAGGAGGAGGAGGGAGGAGGCCGAGGAGGAGGAGGAGGAGGAGGAGGAGAGATGAGACGAGAAAAAGGAATGAGCACCACCGTCGTCCTGAGGAGTAGGGGGGGGCGGAGGACGAGGAGGCAAGCGGGGTGTTTCTTGGCAAGGGCCTCCTCCACTGTAAGCCTGGGGCCCAGGCCGGGCTGCACCAGGTGCAATCGCGGGGGGGGCTCTTCGGCAGCCTGCGCGTGCCGGCCGGGCAGCCTCTGCACGTGCCCTGCTCGCCGGGGGGAGGGAGAAGAGGGCGGAGGAGGCGAGAGAGAGGACGAGGAGGTGGAGGAGGAGGAGGAGGAGTAGGAGGAGGAGTAGGAGGAGGAGGAGGAGGAGGAGGAGGAAGGGGGCGGAGGAGAGGAGGAGGAGGAGGAGGAGGAGGAGTAGGAGAGGTTGGAGGAGGAGGAGGAGGAATGAGGAAGGAGGAGGAGGCAGGAGGAGGAGGCGGAGGAGAAGGAGGAGGAGGAGGAGGAGGAGGAGGATGAGGAGGAGGAGGAGGAGGAGGCGAGAGGGGGGGGGAGGCGAGGGAGGGAGAGGGAGGGAGCCGCAGAGCCAGGGCGGAGGACGCCGCAGAGCCAGGGCAAGGGAGGAGGCCGTCCAACTCGACATGCAGCAGAACAAGACGACGAGCTGAACCTCGCTGAACTCGCAACGTTCGGGAGCGCTCGTCCTGGGCTCCCTCCTAGTTATCCATGGCCCGCTGATCACGGCTCTCAGCGTCGGCGCGGGAGGAGAATCAAGAGGGGTGGAGGAGAAGGATAAGGAGGAGGATGCTGAGGATGACGACGATGACGACGACGATGATAGTGATGCTAACGCTGATGATGGCGATGATGATGAGGATGATGATGATGCTGATGATGATGATGATGTTGATGACGATGATGATGATGCTGATGATACTGATGATGATGATGATGCTGCTGGTGATGACGGTATGATGCTGATGAAGATGGTGATGATGCTGCTGATGATGGTGATGATCCCTCCGCATCGTCTGGAGGGACGACGAAGATGAGAAGGAGAGAAGATGAGGAGGAAGGGGGACGAGGAAGGAGAGGATACAGGGAGAGGGCCAGTTCCCCCCGGCAGCCAGCCTGTGTAACCCGATCGCGCCATGTCGACAAGGTGAGTGCTCCTGCGCGCCGTGGGTGGCTCAGCGGGGAGTGGAGTGGGGCGGGGTGGGGGTGGGGGTGGGGGGGCGAGGGCTTACTTGATGCTTGAAACAGCTGGGCGTGTTTTTCTTGTCTGGTCTCGTTGTGGACGGAAGAGAAAACGCCGCCCCCCCATCGTGTCTAACATCGTCAGGTGCGAGGGGGGGACACGCGGGCGCCTGGGACTCGACGGTGTGTCAAGGAGGCAGAATCCTTCTCACGCTTACGGCTGCGGGCATTAGCCAGGAGGAACAGTAGTCACAATCACAAGCAAACGCTGACTTCCCTGATAACATGGGGAGACATCAGAAATCAAGGGGAGATAAACTTCCAGGAATTATGGGACAATGTGGGAACTCCTATATGTGCAGATTTATTTGTGTCCTCCTGGGCCCCATTAACTGGGGTCCATGGGGTCGACAGTGCCCTGCCCGCCCCAAATTCAAACTTTATCAATTTCTTTTCGGCTTTTGAAAGATTTCGGCGTTCTCGCCTCTTACGCTTCCCGACGCTCAAAGACGGCCCCAGAGGCCCCCGAGATCGCCCCAAGATGGCCCAACGTCCTCCAAGAGGTTCACAACATGGCCCAAGAGGGCCCTAAGACGGCCCGAGACGCCTCCCAAGAGGCACCCAAGACGGCTCGGCTCCAAGCTGGTGCCCAGACGGCGGACCCGACCGGACATCTCAAGCCCTCGCCCCCGAGCAGCGCTCAGGAGGCCCCAAGAGGCCTCCAATACGCCCCCAGGAAGCTCCTGGACGCTCCCAAGAGGCTTCCAAAAGGCCCCCCAAAAGTCCCCCCAAACGCCCCCGAACTGCCCACAAGAGGCCCCTCCGGAGGCCCCAACCTTGCCTCGACCTCTTCCTCCCATACTCCTTCTCCTACTCCTGCCCCTCCTCCTCCTCCTCCTCCTCCTCTTCCTCCTCCTCCTCCTCCTCCTCCTCCCTGTTCTCCGCGTCCTCCTTCTTCTCTTGCTCCTCCGACTCCCATTCTACTCGTCCACCTACTGCTGACTCCCCCCCCCGTCCTCCCCCTGTCCCAGGCCGTCACAACAATATGCTAGAGTATACACTAGTACACACTAGTATGCCACAGTATGCTAGGTCTCTTCATATTCCCATTTACTTCAGGGCAACCGAGGAAACAGTTACAATGACCACGGTGACTGCCTGGGGCATGCCCCGCGGGCACCTTTCCGTCCCGAATGGGTCTCTGACCGCCCTGGGGCCCGGAGAACGCCTACATGGTCGACCTCCTCGCTCTCCCGCGTCCTTCTGCACGTGCTCCTCCTCCTCCTCCTCCTTCTCCTCCTCCTCTCAGGACTCCCTTCCCTCAGGACCTCCTTTTCCGCGTGGCAGGACCGACGACTCGGCGCCCAGACAGACCTCGCTCTCTGGGTGCGCGCTGCCCGTGGACGAGCCGTGGGGGCCAGACGCCTCCAGGAGGCTCCGCACGTCCGCCCCCAAGACCAGGCTCCTCGAACCTCGAGCGTCCTGGCGATCTTGTTCGCGACGCCCGGATCTGACGGCTCTGCCTCCTGGGCCAAGGGCTTGATGTCCACGGAAGGCACCTGTGCACTACCGCTGCCGGGCCTGGCCACGGCCACCCTGTGCCCTGGGGTGGCGTGCAGATCCTGCTAGCT